CCATAGAAAGTGTAACTTCTTCAAGGGAATAATATTTATGCTGCTGGAAAGGCGAGTTCGAGGGGGGAAACTGGGGCTCTAAATCAATAAATTGATAGGGGAGTGACATCCACATCCTGGAGACACGGAATCGCACATCTACGATGGGCCTGGTGCCAGAACCCCAGGCACAAGTGTGTGCTCCCCCAATTAAAATAGTTCCTAATCGTGGAATAAATCGTAAAACAGCAGTAGATGTTAAAGTCCAAGCTAATTTTAAAGCACTGCAGATTACATTTCAAAACAATCTAGATTAAGATTAATTTCCTTTAGATTATAAGCTTAAATGATTATAAGGTTATTATTTCCATCAAACACACACCGAAAGAATTCTGACGTTATAATCTGAGTTCAGAATGTTCTTAAAAATAGAACGAGATTTTTGAAGATGAAAATTGTTTCATTGTGCTTAAATCAAGATGAATTAGCGAATTAGTCAGTAGTGTATACTTATAGAAAATATGTTAAATAAACTCAATATAAGTTTTGTCTTCTCACCATTTCATTCTAATACGGAGATAATTGATACCAAAATGTACTTGCACGGCCTTTAAGAACGAAATGTTCTCAGATCAAGAACACTTTACTTGCAGGGTTATATTCCATGGAAAATAAATAAACCTTAGTACCTAACCTTTTTTTATTCGAACAACTTAAGTATAATATACTTCTTTGAAATTATTGTCCCAAACAGCAATTTTTAAGATGATTACCGAATCTTAATTGATTTTAAGCAATGAATAGTAGCTAGATTTAAACTTTAGACTTTATGAAAAATATAAAGATCTAATGAAATTTCTATACGATCTCCAGTAAAATAAACGAGTTAGTTTGATTCCTATGTTATAAAGGGACTTTAATTCGTTTGGAATAAAGACTTTCTAAAATATATTATCATCTTAAAACTTTTAATATTTTTATTAAATTCGTCATGCTTTCCCTCTCACTCCTGGAATCGCCCTGTCTCTGTCTGTGCGTTAACTTTCCCGCTTAAGTGACGATCGCGAGCTCTTAATTTAACGGTAATTTGCGTAGAACAGTCTACCGCTCCGCCGTCGCCCGTCTCGCTCCCGCTTCCTGCCGTCCCGCTCTTCTGGGGCCGCTGCGCAGGCGCACAATTTACTGTTGTTTAGCCTCCTCCTAATTGATTGCTCCCGTTGTTATTGTTATTAGTGCCATTGTTGTTGGTGTTTTTGTTGTTCTTGCAGCCGGCTGCCGCTACTTATTGCAAATATGAATTATTATTTATTCCTATTGGAGCGAACGGCAGCGTTTTCGTCACAACTTTTTGCGTAGCCCGCCAGAAATAATAGTGAACTCAAGTTGAATGCAGAAATTTATTTGTTTTCATTGTTGTTGGGCTGCAGAAATTGTGTAATAAATAATTTACGCTCGCTTTTGCAGCGTGCCACATAATCATATTCAATAATAATAAAAAAAAGCAACAGCAAAATGGGCTGGGCCCCAGTTAAGAGGGTTGCATGGAGGGGGGAAAGAGAGGGATAGAGCGGTGCGAGAGGGATGGCAGAGTGGAGCTTGTTTGGGTCGCTGACCCAGAAATGTCAAACAGGGAAGTCTTTTAATTTTTATTTCTCCATACTCCATTTGTTTTGCCTGTATCGCGTGGTGAGTTGATTTGTGGGACTTCAGTTTTGATAGGACTGGAGATTTTTTAAGTGTTCTCGTCTGTTAATTTACCCATATGAACTACTGAATATCTATTACTTTGCTGACGATTCTAAAACCAAGTTTTTTGGTTAATATTTAATTTTATTATAACAATTTTTGCCTTGTTTTGTTCAGAAAAATTAAAACGAACAGCTTAAATTGAAAATCAATATTTATAATTAAATATTAATATTTTTACGCTAAGATAAACTTCCTTTTTGATCCCATGGCTGAAAGACTTAAAAACTTTAAAAGCGTTTGTCTCAAAATTCTTTTTTTCGAGAACTATTATTCTAGTTCTTAAAATACCTGCTGTAATTCCTCTTTCAAATGTTAAGAATGCTATAATTTTTCAAACCATATTTACTTAATTTAGATACTAAAATGATTTAAATTACCTATGTATGTATTTAAATGTTAAAACGATAAAATTGTTGTTAAAACCAAAAAAAAAATGGTGTGGTGTAAAAAATCAATACGGATAGTTAAAAAGCTATAAAAAAAAGGCTAGCAACTGTTGAAATTTTGTTTACTTTGGCTTTGGTTACCATTTAATAGCAAAACTACCATAAAATGGTAGGTTGTGTGTGTTTTGTTATGGGTAGTGTAACTATTTCGTTGGTCAAATTGGAATTTCGACCTCTTAATTATTATATTGGTATTTTTAACACTATAGGTTGTTTAATGTGTACAGTCATACGATTTATTCCTTAAAACTGCGTCTTATCCAAATTATAACACGTCTTTGAGTTGATTTCACCACCTCCATTCGAAGCACTCTTATCTCATTTTTCAGATGGCCTGCACATTCGTGAAAAATGAAAAACACCCCCACCCCCATATCACTTGTTTGTTTTTCTTTTTACGGACTCTGGCAGCCAATTCGACGACACATAGCACTCATATTACGCTTAATCAGTTTCGTATTCAAATATTTTTTATTTATTTTGCACTGCCTGGAGTAATTGGAGTTGCAAACGAAAAAGATATAAAAATAATAAAAACAAGACTGTCTAAAAAACATAAGCAAGCTGAGGAAAGACAAAGAATAAATCGCAAAAATCGAGCCCCTTTTTCTGTTTAATCCCTGTTTGCCTCTCCCCCTCCTCCGCTCGTTCTCTTTGCTTTGGACTTCTTCGCTTGTTGCATGCTCGCTCATGTTCATGTTTTTATGTTGTTTTGTGCATGTGTATTCTTGAATTTCATCATCTGCGGAAATCCTTGCGTAATGTATCTTGAGTCGTTAGCTTATCACTTCGAGCTTTATCGGCATGTTTTTGACCTCAATTGACCTTGATTTGGAGCATTAGTTAGGGTTTAATTTAAATTTGTTTAGTATAAAGAGCTTTTAGTTAAGAAAAATACATGGAAACATGTCAAGTTGAGGTGTAACTTAAATATTAGTCAATAGATCATAGATAAACATATTTTAAGAATATTTAAACTATTCATGAATATTATTTAGTCAAAAGTAATAAAAACATTTTTTGATTAAAAAATATAAGCCTACAATGAATATTTTTCTTAAATCTTAAACCCGAATATCGCTTTAAATTGTGTAAAGACTAAACCGAAAAATATGTTTTTTTGTAATCCTGAATTATTAACATTAGATCAAAGTCAATTGCCGTTTTGACAATTATGTGAATGTGCCATCAAATTTGAATTAAATTCATAAAAGTGTTTTACGCGTATTTCGTAATATTTTTCAAGCATTTTCGCGCGCAAAGTTGTGGAAGACAGAGAAGGAGCTAAAGAGAGAAAGAGTGAGGAAAAAGCCTGTTTATTTGAAGTGTGGGTGGGAGGGGAGTAGGAATAGAAGAAGAGAGGAGAAAAAGCAGAAACTGGTTTTCATGTTGCACAGTGAATTTTTTGAAATATGGTGAAATTGATTAAAAATAACCAATATCCAAATGGGAAATATTGACTGGCAGTTTTTCATATTTCGTATACTTGTTTTTGGTTTAATAATTTCTTTAGAAAATCTCTTGATCTATTTTGTTTTACAACAATATAAAGATATATTACAGAATCAAAAGAACTGAATTTATTTTATTAAAATTGAAGCAAGTTTCGTTCACAAGATAATCAATGATTTTCGCTCTTATTTTGTACACCTACTTATTTACATTTTTAAAATAGTTTTATCAAAAATCAACATACATATTTAATAAAGTTTAACTAAAAAAGGGCAAAAAAAAATTAAAAATCTCTTTCTAGGTAAAAAATAAAATTTTTATTTGTCAAGAAACAAAGCATTTCACATTTTAAATATCACTTTTTTTTAGTTTAAATAAAAAATTCGTTGCCGTCTTATACAAAGTTACTCCTCTTTTCTACTACCTTTTCACTACTTTTTTTACTGCCTTTTTAACCCGCTCATAGAATCTACTCCCAATCACTCATACTCTTTCCACTGCGTTTTGAAGCCTCTTAAAAACGCTCGCTCGCGCTCCTCCGCTCTTTTTTTAAACAAATAAAAAATCAAAATCAAAAGGCAAGAGCAAAGTGCAATAGCAACAACCACAAGCGGAGAGCATTGTACAATTGCAGTTTTTGTTTTGCTTTAACGTTCGCTGGGCAGAGCAGTCGGCGTCGCTGCCACCTCTTCGCTCCTTCTGCTGGCTCTTCTTCTTCTGCATTTACCTGCTCAACAAGATCTTTGTGTACCCACACACACACATACGTGCACAGCCTGCCTGCCCACTCACTCTCAGTTGAAACGAGAAAGAACGATCCCTTTGGAGCACCGACTTTGGCATACCCTTTACTCGCTTTTTCGAGGATCAATTCGTTTACCTTCCTTTTCTTAAGTTTAGTTCAACGAAAAAATTGTATATATAGTAAACTATTTTAATAGATTTATTTATTATTGTTTTCTTGAAAAACAGTGCCTACCATTGAAATAGGTTCCTTTATGAAGAGATTTAAAAATGTGAAAATTCTTTTAGCCTGTAAAAATTATCTTGAATAAACAAAACTTCTTTCGTTTAAAAGTAGTTTTTTTTAGCACGAAGCCTATTAAAGCGTGAGATTGAATATTTTTCACAAGTGCAAATATACCCTCCCTTATCCAGTAAAGGGTACACAAAGAGCGAGTTTTTTTACAATTTTTTCTCTCACCTCCCCCAGCCCCCGCGCCCGTCCACAACTACCTGCATGCATGTGCATGTGCAGGAGCGGGAGCGTGCGAGAGCGAGAGAGACTGCGATTGCACTGGCTGCGGCCTATGTCCGCTGCGCCTACGCCGCCTCGCTGCCGACGTCGCAGCGACTCGCCGTCGCCGTAGTTTGAGGCTCCAGTGCGAACAGTTCTTTTTTAGCCGCGGAGCCAGTAAGACGTGTTTTCTGCCCTCTTTCTTTGAGTCTGCGACACGTTTTAAGTGCTCTTCCCCAATTGACAACAACAGCAAAGTAACATAAAAAAAAATCAAAACCAGAACCATCGTGACGAAAGTTGTTTGTGTTTTTAAATCAGTTCTGAACACGAAAAGGCTTGATGAAAAATGCAAAAGAATCCGAAAAACTAACCAATCGACCGAAAACTTGACTTGAGTGTTGCTTGACAAATCAAGAAAACCAAAAACAAATCATAACAAAAAACTGCACGAAAAGATGCAAAAGTTTCTGATATTCAAAATCTTGCACAAGAAATACAAAATCAATTAAAGTGAACTCTAACTGAAAGTTGAACGAAGGAGAAAAGAAAAACAAACCAGAGAAGAACAATCAGAAGAAGAGCGAAGTGCAAACAAAGAGCAGGAAGGAAGGAAGCGGATAAGGACAAAAAGGAAGCCAGCGCACACACACACACACTCACAATGGCCGTGCCCTTTTATTTGCCCGAGGGCGGCGCCGATGACGTAGCCTCGAGTTCATCGGGAGCCTCGGGCAACTCCTCCCCCCACAACCACCCACACCCGCACCCACTCCCCTCCAGCGCCTCGTCCACCACCTCCTCCTCGGGCGTGTCCTCCGCCTCTTCGGCCTCGTCCTCGTCCTCCGCCTCCTCGTCATCCGCATCCTCGTCCTCGGACGGGGCCAGCAGCGCCGCCTCGCAGTCGCCGAACACCACCACCTCGTCGGCCACGCAGACGCCGATGCAGTCGCCACTGCCCACCGACCAGGTGCTCTACGCCCTCTACGAGTGGGTCAGGATCTACCAGAGCCAGCAGAGCGGTAAGTCTATAAAGATCCTCGGAGAATACCCGAAATCTCCACTCTTATTCTTGAACTTCAATTGGAAGGTTGGCATATAACACCATCCATTTATCTTAGGCATCTTTTAAATGTCAGATCGCAAAACATTTTAAAAACATTAGTAGGTAGTTACATATCTAAAAATGTACCTAGAATCATTCTATATTATAAATATAATCGTTTACCAGAACCAAGCAGAACAGCGAATCTTTATAGATACAGAATCAGTTTATTGAACTCAGAACTTGAGTTTGCGGTTTGAAAATATACTAAACTTATGTATCTATCAATAGAAACAAGGTAATCTACTGTTAATAAAATATTATGATAGGTGACTTAGAAATTTTTAATAATTTTAAGTTTGTTACTCAAAACCACCACAACTCGTGGAAGTGTAATAAACAAATTAAAAAAAAAACGATCGCAAATATTAAGAAGAATACAAATTTACTCAAGCGGATTTTTCGATATTTACTATTTTCACTTTCCTTCTAAAACACTAAACATTTAAGTTTCCGGAAAGTACTGAAAATAAGAAAATGATAAGTGGTTGTAAACAAAAGATTTAATAGATTTATCGACTAAACGAATAGTCGAGATAAATAATTATTCTTAGAGAAACTTCACTTAAAATGGTTTACAAAATATAATGTAAGAACATAAAAAAGTGAATGGTAATTTAACAGAGGAGAAATATCGAGAGAAGACATAACGAAAAATATTTCGAAAAGAAATCTGAAACCGTTTGGAAAAATGTTTCTAAGTCAGCGAAGTATTACCCATAAAGTAGCTCCAAATCTTTTAATATTCTTATAATTTGCATTTTTTTATTTGAAAGTGATCTCAAACTTAGTATTATTTCGACTAACAAACTTTTTTTTTTTATAGAACTAAATTTTTGAAATGTAGTATAAAAATGTAACATTACATTATTACGAGATCATTACTTTTACCTACTACCGAAACACAAGGAAATACCTGGTCAGGCAAGAAAGTTTTTCTCATTTTTAAATGGGTCAGCAATTAGCCAAGTTGTTGTTGTGACTTTATTTGTTAACTGCTTCAGTTCGCCCTGTGCAAGTTTCACTTTTCAAGGTTGTTGACTCATCCAGCGATTCGAGCAACTGCGTCAACTGCCTCCAAGTTGTTTTTGTTTTCTTTTCCCAGTTTTTTTTTTTAATTTTTGTGTATGGTCAGGTCAGCACTTTGTCAGCTTATCAGCAAAAAAAAAGGGAGAGCGGAAGGCTACACGAAATTTGCATTAAATTACTCGGCCACACTCGAAAGGAAGCCGCAACCCAAAATGGTAATTCAATAAAAATTAATCGAACAAGTTCAAAAAGGGGAAAATTGAGAAGTAATTGAGAAGTTTCGATTGGGGGAGGGAGCTGACCAAATAAACTGGAAGTCACAAAAATGCAAAAACACAAACATGTTGGCTTACTGGAGTAAAGGGATCCAGTTACAATGAATTTGTAAACAGTTTTAGTTGAACTTGGTAAAAATAAATAAATATAAGGAAAGGAATTTAAAAACTGTTTACAAGCCACATAAACTTGGAAACAATATATATTATCTAGTCTTCACTCGAAAATGAAGTAATAAAAGTAGTATAGTTACCAAAGCTTTAATCGTTCACATTAAGATCGTTTTAAAAGCCCCCCTTTGGTATAATCCCCTAAACTAGGCTCATAAATCTCCCGCCAATCCCGACTAAAATCTAGTAATGTGGTAAGCGGCAATACGAAAAGCGAGACAGATGCAAGCCAACTGCCAAGTCGGCTGTCATGCGATATGGCCCGTATTTCTTGGCTAAAAATTGGGCGTGTGCTGTGCTGGACCAGCCAAGAGCAGGAAAAAATAAAGACCTGGCCAAAAGCAGGGGATCAGAAACCAAAAGCGGTAAAACAGAGCTGGGAGCAAAGAGCTAAGCACGTTTAATTGGCACGCGCCAAACTCGAGTCGAATGTCTTACTTTTGAGTCGCTGGAGTGTGTGGCCATGTATCTGGGTATCTGCAAGATACGTATCTGTATCTCGATCGCAGTGCACCCGTATCTGTTACAGTTCGCTCGGCTAACCCAAATTATTAAACGCCATTTGACCTTAGGCAACTAGTTTTCCGATTTTCCGAGGGGCCCGAACGGGTTGAGGGTGTGGGCCATTTGCAAAGTGTTTGACTTAACGGTTGTTTAAGTAGCTTTTGTGCTTGGCCACATTGAGTGCGGTCAGTTTTTTATTGTTTTTCCCCCACTTTTTTTTTCTTTTTTTGCGCGCTTTTCATGTTTGCTTTGCGGTTTTTCATTCGCGTTCCTTAATTTTGTGTTGGCTTTGCATAATAGATTTTGTCGCTGTCGATGATTGCCAGCTGCGGTCGGGCCCCACCAAAAAGCCAAATTGTTGTTTTATTATGTTGGCCGTTTTATTTCGTTTGTTACCTTTTTCGCGACTGTCAGCAACAGTTGGTCAAGCCAAAAAAAAAGAGAGTTCCCTTCTTGGTTTCGGCGTGAGTCACTTTTGGGCGTTTCATTACTTTGCCGTCTTTAAAATCATTTTTATAATTATTATTATGAAAACGTTGCCGAAGTTGAGCAATTTCGCATGCAAAACAAAGAATATTATAATTTATTTTTCAACCAACACTTCCCCTATCGCATTTTATCCACAAATCTTTAAGCCCCCTTATCCACACTTACCGATCATCTACTTCAGTTAGCCACTCGAGTGGATAATTTATCTAATAGTGACACGTCCCGAAACTAGTTAACAATGCTTAAAGCACTTGAAACGAGAACGGGATAAACTGTAGTTAACCAAGATGCGAGCACCCTTTTCCTGGTTCCCCCAGCCAGCCCTTTATATGTAAGCCAGAAGCACACAGAATACTTTTAGCCCTGAAACGCGCTTAGTCATCAGCCAGCTATCAACCCTAAAAGCCTAAAAATGCGAGGCGCAAACAACCCCGACAAAAATTCCTAAATACCAACAGAGCTTTTCCCTACCAAAAACAAAAAACGCAGGAGGGAGCCTTTTGTTTTGGGAGAGGATTAAGCATCCAGCATCCAAAGAGCCACCCCATAACCCATACCAAGTGGCGCCCAACAAAAGGTGCAATGACAGCAGTGGTTCCTAATCAGTGATGAGAAAAGGTACTTGGTACACAGTATCCCCCTTTTTAATAGAGCTTGTTTGGGTAAATGGTACAGTAGGAAAAAAACTAGTTGTAGTGTGGCAGTCTTAGTAAACCTGATTATTATATTTAAAATGTTAATTACCTTTGATCATAGGTACACTACTTCTAATGAACGATAATTATAATAATATATTATAGTTTTGTCTTTGGAATATATTATTTTATATGTTTGTACCAAGTACCTACTTTAAGCAAGGTATCTCATAGTACCGAATGCAAATAGATACTTCCCATCACAGCCTCCACCTCACCTAACCCCACTTCTTGGCTGCTTCGTTTTGGCATGCAAATTCGCATCATTCGCTTGGCTTGGCTTTATTTTTTGCTGTTGCCAACAGCTGTTTTGCTGCTAGGCGTTGTTTTTCGCTGCCGGCGTCGCTGCCGCACTTGACATTTTCAACCATTTTGTTTTGCTCGGCAACTTCGTGGATGCCGTTGCCGCAGCTAACGAAGCTAACGGTAAAGAGGCGGCATAATGGCGGCAAAAATGGCGACCCTGCCGCATCCTGCCTGGCAACAAAACACAGCTGACTGCTGCGCAGAGAGAGGGCAAGAGAGATGGAGAGAGACAGAACGAGAGGGCGCACAAGGGCTCCGATTAACCGCAAGTTTTGAACTCTTTTTCTATTTTGTACAGCCTACCCAAAGGGGGCGGGAAAATGGGAAAATGGGAGGAGCAGGAGGTGAGGTTAGGAGGATTTTCCTCCGCTTTCATCATCGTCATTTGCATCTCGATTTGTTTGGCCTGTTGCCAAGCTGATTTATACATACCAGACTTTTTTATGTTTTTTACTTGGCTTTTTTCTGCTTCTCTCGTTGTCTGCTTTACTTTTTTGCGTTTTTTGTGGTTATTATGGCTTTGCCTTTACATTGACCGTGAATTTCTGTTTCCCTCTGTTTTTATTTCGACTTCTTTATTTTTCCCATGCAAATTGTGTTTTTATTGAGCTGCGTCTTTTGTAATTGTTTCATTTCATTTAAGACAATCGCTTTTTAAGGTTTCTTTTCTCTTACAGCATAGTTTTTTATGGGTTTACTGCCTTCATAAATTTTTTGATGATCTGCCCGAAACAGCTGCGACAAATCGAATCGGAAATCTTTACTCAAATATTATTTGCTCATAAAAGTTGAAAGTAGTTTGTGAGCAGAAAACTTATAGAACCAGCTGTGAAAAACATTTTCATCTGAGGAAACTTTCAAGAAAGTGAGTTCACATACGCATGATATCAAGAATATTTGTACTTGAAAATTTGAGAAGAGAAAATACTGAAACCAAGCAGATTTGCTCTTTAATTTTTGGTTCTCTGTTACACAATTTCTTCCATTGCCTGATTTTTAATTTAAGCTTAGGTTTTTGTACTTACCTCGGGGTTCTCAAACTATTCAAGGAATAGAAATACCATCTCCAGTTTGTTTACATTTCACACCATTCAGCGCAATGAACTTTACACATTTTTCAAGTTTAAATGGCCGCCAGGCACTTTGACTAATAAGAAAAAAAAGTATTACCTGAATGCTGGTATAAACTTGACACTTTTGAGGCACTATAAGCGTCGGGACTCGGTTGAATCAGGCTGAGACGACAGTCTGCCAGGATCCCTAAGTTGGCTTTTGATTAAGTCTCCGCTGAGGCCGTGCTAAATTGTTTGCACTGAGGCGTTTGGGTTAAGTTAGGGGGCAACGGGGGGTTAAGGATAGAACGTGCTCAAGTTTTTGTTATGAAATTGAGCCTAGACAAGCCAAGCGAAGCCCCTTCTTCGCTGACAACTCGACTCCTTTTCAGCAAC